CGTTATTGAATGTATTTCTATGTATAATCGGTTACAGAAGTTATAAAATTTGACTTCAATTGTCCTTTAAGTCATGATTGTTCGCTTCAGGGCCCGCGCAGCGCACAGGCGGCCGCACAGATGCCCCCGGACGGGAATCGTGAAGAAAAATGGGATTTTACGAACACACAGCCTGCCTACACACCATGCGATACGGACCTGGGTATGAAATTCCACACGTGAAGACAATTAATGTTCTCTCTTTCTTTCTCCTTCTCTCTCTCTCTATCTCTTGTTCTCTCATCGTCTCTATCTCTTTCTCTTTTAACCACTTTCTCTTCTCCCTCTCTCACTCTCTATCTCTCTATTTCTGTCTCTGTCTGTCTTTCTCTCTCTCTCTCTCCCCCTCCTCCCTCTCTCCCTGCTCTCCCCCCTCTCGCTAACCTTTCACCTCTCTTTCCCCTGCAGCGGTGTCCCCTGCAGCGGGCAGCAGCAGCAGCAGCAGCAGGAGGGTTGACCCGGGCGTGGAGCAGCTGACGATGGATGAGGATGGATACGCGGAGACGTACGTCAGCGCGGTGGAGAGCCCCAACCACTTCTGGCTGCAGGTCGTGCGTGAGAAGTCGCGAGCTCTCGATCGCCTCGTGGATGACATGAATGCTCACTACGCGCTCTGTCCACCGAGCGAGGTAACGCAAGGGGGCATGTGTGTGAGGGTGGGTGAGGGAGGGGGTGCGTGAGGGAGGGTGAGGGAGGGGGTGTGTGAGGGTGGATGAGGGAGGGGGTGTGTGAGGGTGGGTGAGGGAGGGTGAAGGAGAAGGTGTGTGAGGGAGGGTGAGGGAGGGTGGGGGAGGGGGTATGTGAGGGTGGATGAGGGAGTGGGTGTAAGATGCACGCTGTGAGAGAGTTGGTGTGAGAGTGATGGTAGGCGAGGGAGTGGATGGATGTGAGTGAGGGTGGGTGAGGGAGGGGGTGTGCTGGTGTGAGAGAGGTAATGGGGTTACATTGATTGTTGGCTGTGAGTGTATGCTGAGGGACTGGGTTAGAGTTAAGGTCAGGGTTAGGGTTAGGAGTAGGTGTAAGGGCATGCGTGTGAGGTGTGAGTACTAAGGCCATTCTATTGTTTAACCTGCGCTTTCTTCTCACGTGACCTTTCTATTGTTTTTCGGCGGCGACAGGAGGATGAGGTGGTGCCGCGGCCGGGCGACCTGGTGGCGACGGACTTTGTGTATGATAACGGCTGGTACCGCGCCCGCGTGCTCACTGTCACCGGAGACCTCGTCACCGTATACTACCCTGACTTCGGTGACACGGGACAGGTGCTGGCCAGCCGGCTGCGCAAGCTCAGGTAAGCAAGCGTGAAGCGCGGTGCAAGACATACACTACCCTACCAGACCCCATCGCCACGACCACCTCCTCCAGGCCCTACCTTCACCATAACTCCCGGCCCACTGGACAGGTGCTAGCCAGCCTGCTGCGCAAGCTCAGGTAATTCCCCAGGCCCCATTTCCACCATCGCCCCTGCTCCTCCAGGCTATACAGTAACCTACCAGGCCCACTACCAAACCAGGCCCCACCCCACTCCACCCCACCCAATCCCTACCTTGATTATTGTGACCAGTAGAGGCTACACGTTGCCACGGTGACTCTCATGTTACGATCGCTTGCCCTTCATCTACTCCCGCATTCCGCCATTCCATCATTCGATCATTCTTTCGTTTGTCCCCTTCCCGTGCGCAGTTCCACCGACTGTTAGTTCATTCGTTCTCTCCCGCACGACGTTCTATCGATCATTAATTCTTCTTCGTTCGTTCTTCTCGCAGTCGCGCGTTCCTCGTGCTGCCTTTCCAAGCGATCGAGTGCTACACGGCCCGGCAGATGGCGCCGGCGGACGGCGGCGATGCGTGGAGCGAGGCGGCGATACAGAGGTTTGAGGAGCTAGTGTTCTGCGCTAAGTGGAAGGTTCTGATGTGCAGCGTGATGCAGACGGAGGCGGGCCGACCGTACGTGGAGCTGGTGGACACACACGGCAACGCGGTGCGCAGCTAATATACGATAATCGTGTCGTAGTATATCGTATATATATATATATATATATATATATAACAAATTACAATAAAAACTGTAATAATATATTACATTAGTTGTAATGATAATAATAATAGTATAATAATAATCATCATCATCATAACGATAATAATAATAATCTCTTTCTCCTCATTACAGAACGTCAACATAGCAGACGAGATGGTGAGGTCGGGTCAGGCACGGTGGGCTTCTGCCGCCGATCATGCTCACGTGGCGCCCTCTGACGACCACTGCAGTCAGGTAAGTGTGGGCGTCGACCTCAGACCGACCTTTATACAGGGGCTCACGAGTACATTAGATTTCTGATAGCATTTAAAAAAACTGCTGCTGTTTCTTGTCGGATTTCATTGATATTCGTCCTGCCTCTAAAGTCTCTACTGTTTTCACCTCACACAGGTGACTCCACCTGCAGAAGCAGACGATTCTGTCATCATCATTGACAACAGCCCAGCCAAAGTTGACGGTAAGCTACAGAAGTTTTATGGGGAAAATTTAATTTGCGTCGTTAATTTTGTGTTGCCTACAAAGAATAACAATAATAAATAATCAACTATATAAAAATGTATGTGGTCTTTATCATTCGAGCAGAGGCAGCGGAGGACTCTTCCCAGTCACATCGAGGAGAAGCCAGTTTGCAGTCGAGTTTCGGTGAATTCAGCATGCTACAGAGCACAGGTAACCGTCATTCCTCACTCCTGACTGCCAACAACACCCTCGATGCACGGTAGATGTAAGAACTGGTATTGTAATTGCATAGTTCGTATACGTGGAAGATTACGCGATTGCTGTTACGACATCCTTCGTTGATGTGTAAGCGCATGTATAATTCGTAATGCAAGGGTCGAATTTTAACATTTTCGGGCTGCTCCCTCTCTCTATTTCTCTTGTTCACTCTCTCTCTCTCTCACTCCCTCCTCCCTCTCTCTGTCTCTTTCTCCCCCTCTCTCTCTCTCTCTCTCTCTCTCTCTCTCCTCTCCTCTCCTCCCATCCCCCCCTCTCTCTCCTCATCCTCCCCCCCTCTTTCTCTCCCTATCCTCCCCCTCCCTCTCTCTCTCTCTTTCTATCTCTCCCCATCCTCCCTCTCTCTCTGTGGGGTTGCAGGTATAGAGTCTTCGCCGTACGATTCTGAGCCGGACGTCGATGTGACGGAGACGATAGACAGCACTTCATCGTTCCTCTCCGCGTCTGACGACGGAAGCAGCACGCACGTACGTATACGCCCCTCTCCGCCGCCGTCGCCTGCTCGTTGTTCTCACTCGTTTTTACAATTTATCGCCCCCTCAGTATGATTTAATCGTGGGGGGGGGTGTTGTTCTCGGTTGTGAGAGGAAGCTGCGGAGATGCGTAACATGAGTGTGAGAGGGATGCTAATATGATTCATCTAATTGTGCCAGTATGGCGTCTACAATCTAGATCATGCCGAACAAACAATTCATTGTCGCGTAGAAAACAAATGGGTAACGAATAGGTAACCTGGCCAAAACCTTTTGTGTTGCGTGTTCGTTAACGATTTAATCGGTATAAGTTTTCGATCGACGACGTTCCATTGTTACCTCACAGCGATGCGTTTTTTATTCGTGCCTCGAGCGTCGAAGTTAATTATCGTTAAATAGCATTATAACAATGCTAAGAATGACATTGTAATAATTAACCGGCATTAATTAGCATTGCTCGTTATCTCGCGCAGCTCATCGACTCGACGGTCAGCGTGACGGACGCTTCCAGCTTCGCGTATGAGTCCAGCGTGCAGGACGCTAGCGCCATCGCCCCCGGCGACACCGCCGCAAACACGGGGAGTGCCGACGCGAGGAGGAACGGTGGGGGTGACGGCGGCGATGGGAACAGCGAGCTGGGAGGCAACACGACGAGCGGGGAGTACAGTCTGCTCAGCAGCACCAAGTTCGCCTCCGAGTCGCCACCGGTGACAAGCCCAAACAAGAGAGCAGCAGGTGACATGGAGAGCACCGTGCTCGTCGCGAGCCCGCCAGGTGGCACCGGTAAGGGTGAGTTTCCGTCAGGGATCGAGGACATCAGCATGATCCCCGGCAATGCTGCGTCATCGTCGATGATAGATGGCAGCACCATGCAGGACTCGGCGGCGACGATCAACCCGCTGGAGTTGAATCAGTTTTCGGCGACGTTCGAGCAGATTTCTCGCGACGCCGCCGCTGCCGACGACGAATGATCGACGCAAAGCGCCACCCTATTACTGTTCTGTTAGGACTTTCTAAAGATGATGCTTATCAACGATGTTTAGACAGTTTCGGTTTTCGCAGTGCGCGCGTGAAAAGCCTGTGCACGTTACTGGTTTAGTTTGACCACCCTAGCAACGATATCCAAGGGGATTGTTGGTCAAAGTCGTGTTGCGCAGACGGATCGGTTGAGTCTCTTGATAAGATACGACTATTTACTGCTTTATAGAATGAATGCATCAATGTAAAGATTTCTTCTGTTTGAATGTAATGCGAACATTCGTTACAATGATGAATTATATTATGATAGTGTTGTATTGGAGATGCTGCTGTAGGTTAAACATAGTTTAGATCACCAGCGACGCTACGGTTTACAGAATTCAGGTTACCGTGAACGTATTTGTTGAAGTGTAAGTCACATTTGTATTTCACAAGACATTTGTGACCCGCTCCAGCATAATACGGACTAATTCGCAAGTTATTGTTTTGAGTAATGAGCACGCACACATGTCAATGCTGAAAATGGCCTACCTGGACAAAAATGAAATTTTTACAAAAATAAGTTCCTAAGTGCATATTTAATCCGGATATATAGGTTCAGATATTTCTAGATTATTATGGTAATTTTTAATTAAAAAAATAAAATAATATTTTTTAAGGGCCCCTGACCGCTCATCCCCGACCCTTACCCAGAACGCTTCATCTCAAAAACTGCATATTCCGGAAGAAGTCGGTTTCCGATCTTCAAATTGCTGTAGATCGGTCAATTCTTTAGATATAGCCAAATATTATATATCATTTTAAAGGTAATTAAATTATCTATT